GCTTTAGCCATATAATACGCAATGCCAAAAGTTAAATCGAATCGATTCAAAATTCACAGTGCCCTTTTCGCATCTCGACCATTTATAAACCGAATTGCAAACTTTTTACTTATAAAAGTATTTGAATGAAATTTGATACATAGGCACTTGGAATAAAGGAAAATCAAACGCCAATTTCAAAATTTGGTTTTGCGCATGCGCAGTGCCAACTTTTTTATTTATGGAAGAATTTAAACGAAATTTGATACATAGGCACTTGGGATAAAGGAAAATCAAACGCCAATTTCAAAATTTGGTTTTGCGCATGCGCAGTGCCAACTTTTTTATTTATGGAAGAATTTAAACGAAATTTGATACATAGGCACTTGGAATAAAGGATCATCGAGCGCCAGTCTCAAAATTTTCTTTTGCGCATGCGCAGTGCCAACTTTTTTTATCTATGGCACCATTTAAGTGAAATTTGATACTTAGGCGCTTGGAACAAAGGAAAATCTAGCATTAGTTTTGAAATTTAGGTTTGCGCATGCCCAGTTCCAACTTTCTTATTTAGAAAAGCATTGAAATGAAATTCTTCTCATAAACTGAAATTGAAGTAACACGTCAAAAATGGATTGCCCATGTGCAACGCTATCTTTCATATTTGTGGCCGGAATTTTACGATTTTAACAGAAGTTGCATCTTATAAATGGGAAATGAATGCAAGTGGAAATGCGCTTTATGTAAATCGTTTACGATTACTTTTTAACTTGTTGTAGTTTTAGAATATAATAAGCAGTGTTGTAGTTATTTTGTTTAAGCGATATACAATTGTATACGTACGTAGAGGCGATTTAACTACTTACTTGTGTTAATATCAAATTGGTGTTGGAGGACACCGAGTGCCATTACAAATTAGATCGCACCTGAAAATTCTTAATAAATTATGGTATTGCAGTTCGCTTTATTTTTATTGTACAGGTAGTTACAGAAACACAATGACAGCTAGCCGGCGCACTTACATATAATTACATAAACTGAGTTTTAGAGATTCTGAAAAACGCCATTTTTTGTAAAGTAACGGGATTGTTATTATAAAGAAAACACAATAAAATGCTAAAGATGACTACCTCGATGCTATTCCATGAGATATAGTCATTCTTCTAGTGCGATCGAATAGGTAACTTTGTTATTAATGAACACACCGATTATATTAACGGAGCGTAAAAATTAGGCGGCTTCGATATTTATAATGTAATGGACTGTATAATTAAATGTAATTGCTTACTATGCCTCCCCTGTATGAGAGGGCTGACAGAATATCGACCCGAATGATTTAACGTGTTTATTATTAAAAAATGCAAATAAAGTAATTTATTCTAAATCTTGGTTAGCGATTGGTACGACGATACAATAGAAATTGGTATAACTACGAAAGGAATATGAATGAAATTACTTACTTGTTATTGTTTAGAAGTAAGTCAATACAACGAAGCCAAAAAGCGATGGTGATGATGACGTTGTTATTTTTGTTGAAACGAAGCGATTATAACGACGGCATCATGCTCGATGAAAATGATGTGTTGCTTTTTAACAAGCACCTTCATTATTATTGACGGTTGCACGACGACACCTTGATTCTTGCTTTTGCTCGATTGTTGTTCGAAGAATTCTGATCGACGAATGCATGCGCAAATGCAGTGCAATTCTAGCTTCGGCAGCTCATGCGCCGCACATAAGTGGGAATAGGTATATACAGGGGCAGGCAAAATGGTTATGTACAGAGCATGCTAGGATATTTTCATTAAAGGAAAAACTAAAAGACAATAAATTAAGAAGGTTAAAATGTATTCTTGTTCCTCGTTGAAAGACGAATGATAACATATAATCGACTACAGCATAATTCATTAAATAAGAATAGTAAAATTGGCCCCGCCCACTTCACGAAAATGCACAAATAAGTAATTGTACTAGTATTCTTTGTTCAATGATATGATCTTACATGTAACTAGCGTAAATTGGCAAATTGATATTTTTTACGCTATACATTCTAAGTAAAGTACATTTGTATCTTGTATTTTTAACGTCTTTATCATGAGTTACTTAAGACAATTTGTGGAAGGTGTAGGCAGGGCCGGCTCAAGGAAAAAGTTACGTGTAAGCAAGCACTAAAATTTACGTCTCTGCCCGCCTCGCTAAAGCCTGAATAATGGGAACTTTTGGCAAGCATGTTTTTAAAAATGAAAATAGGTTTTCGCCTTAAGGCGAGTAACTTTAGCGCATTTTCCATGAATTCATCAGTACTTCCGGACAGGTCATACAACGGACTGTTTCTGTGTACAAAGGAAAATAAGTTATGGCATAAATATTCTTATAAATAAGAAACTTAAGATTGCGTAGTCTGCGCATGCACACACCAGATGAATAAAGTGTGCGATATGTTTGCCTTTACTAGAAGAATCTCTGGTTAAAATTAAAAAAAAATCTCTATAAATAAGAAAGTTGACATTGCATAGTTTGCGCATGCGCACATCTGATTTGTACAATATGCGATACGCTTGTCTTGACTAGAAGCATCTGTGGTTAAAATTGTAAAGAAATATCTCCGTAAATAAGAAAATTGACAGCGCGCAGTTTGCGTATGGGCACATTAATCTTCAAGATTTTTCTTTGTTAAGGTGCCAGAGCTATTAGCTACCGAATGCAAAAAGAACTAACTACATATCTTGAAAACTGTAAAAGTAGTTAAGGCGTCGGACGGACAGACGGACGGAGCAAGCGCCTTCCAACATGAGTTGGAAAAAGCGCTAGAAATACTGGTTGTTTTAATTTTGTTCTTGTATTTTGCGTTTTCTCTCTGATGTTTCAGGGATAATTGTTTCAAATTTGATAGATCAATTATTTGTTAGAATCTCTACAATAAAGTATCAAAATAGTTGGTCGCGATATACAGGGTGTTGCATTTTCTTTGCTACCCTGTATAATCAAAATGACGGCTTTTAGGCAATGCATATATTTGCATTTTTTTCTTATTTTGACGAGTATCACCCCCTGAAATATCTACATGACATTAATTAACACCCTGTATAGAGACAATGTCCCGCTAATTCCAATTCAGTAGAAAGGTTAGGTACCTACCTATTTGTAGGTGTATGTGTTTTCACATTTTTTTGAAATGCAAAGTTGTACAAAAATGCTACAGATTTTTCGAAGGGATAAAGCTGGATTCACATGCATACGAAATCCGACCATACTGTAATCCGAAAGGCGTGTGATTGGTCAACAATTTCAAATGTGTTTGACATTTGAAATTGTTGACCAATCATACGCCTTTCGGATTACAGTATCGTCGGATTTCGTATGCATGTGAATCCAGCTTAACGCGTCTGCTTCCCGTATACGGATTTTTACGTCTATGGTCCGTCAGTCATTGAACATATGTAATTTTTGCGCTCCTTCTTGTCGGCGGCGTACGCGATGGGTTACACCGCTCAAGCCTAAAGCCGGCCCTGGGTGTAGGCGTTTAAGCACTTGCAGCGTTACATCTTAAGGTGGCGTTTACAAAAAGTGCAAAAGTTGCCTTGCAATTTCCTCAATAACTGTTTCGAGGTAAAAAAATAAACTTCTGTTACCAACCGATGGTTGCTAAGGATTTAAGCTTGTGAATAATGCTAAATTTGATAACAAATTATTATCACTGTGTGATAAAAATGAAAGATATATATTTTATATGGGAGTTATTTAACAAATTATTTACTACATAATAGCGAAAGTCCAGGAATTAGCTAAATAATTTTTGTTTCATGCAAATGTCGGAACATTATATATTTGAATGAATCCTATTGCAACCAAAAATTTATACCCAGAAGGCAGTTATTGTGGAAACAAATTTCCAATTTTTCAATGTAAACGCCACCTTAATGTACATCAAAAATTAAATAAATAAATTAAGAAAGGGAACTTTTGTCAATTTGTAACAATTATCCAAAGAAGCAGAGTTGTATTTATATTACAGCGCATTGTTCTTTTCGGTTGCTATTCGTTTTGAGTGCTTGCGTTTATCAACAACAAGACTATCAGTATAAAAATCTGGAAGTTTGGTGGGGTCTTCATAATTATATATCGTAAATGTGTGACATTTAATCGGAAAGAGATAAGCAGTACGTACATCAAATCACGAAACAGGTGTGCAAAGCGTCCATCCATAATCAACACCTGCCATCGGAAGCGGCGAGGAATTCAGGATTAACGAATCGATAACGCACCGACTTATATCTTTATTGCTTACGTTTCTTTCTAAATATCAGTGAAAGAAACAGAATAGAATACATTACTGTGTACCAACGCGTGTTCTCCGTTTACAGAAAAACTTGATCGAGTTGAAAAGGGAAGGAGTGTAGTACGATGCCATTTAAGATGTATTTTTTGATTTGTCGACCGCCTGCGTGTAAGGTAATATGTCTAAACAAGCTTTTTCTACTTTTTTTTAAAGTTAAATCCGTATTTCCAGGTAATCGAACGTACTAGGGCGAGTACTAGGGTATGTTCGATAGCAACAAATTCTGACGAATTGTGCCATTTTTACTTGTGAAAACACCTACCTTGTTTTGAATCCACTCGTTTGTCAACATACCTACTTGCAGATTTTAAATTAATCATAAGGACTGAATTAGTAAAGGAAATATTTGATAGGTTATACAGATAATAGACAAACAAAACCAAACTGATATTAAGTGGATCAAATGGAAACCTCAAAGTGTTAATAAAATCAACAACAATAGTTTCATTTAATGCATTCTTAGTTACTGCATAACAATGGCATAAAGTTACGAGTATTATTATGGCAAGTATCAGTACATAATATACACTGAAAGCGTTAATATAAAGTAAAATAAAATATAAAGCGACAGTAACTTTGGTTAGCAAAAAAAATTATTAAATCCGTTCAGGAGCTATTTGGCAAAAAATAAAGAGAAAATAAACAAGCAAAGAATAGCTGCCACCATAAAGAGTAAACCCCGTACTATAATAGAAGTAATTTAATTATACAACTATATCAACAATATTATACAAAGTCTCCAAATAAAAAAATATTCCATCGTTCAGCTTATTTAGTAGGTGAAGGTTTGGCTTTTTGTAATAAAAGACTAAAAAAATAGCTTCATTTAAAAAGGCAGCGTATACAATCTTTTACGTGAGAATGCCATACATTTGGAACGTCACACATTTTAGTACGCACCAAAATAGCCCTGTAACAGATAAATAACTTACAGTCTTGAATTGAGAGCTTGGTTTAGAATTTTCGTACCTAGAGTCTTAAGGCTATCGGTGATCTTATCCAAAAATGAGGGGGAGTTTGATCCGGTGTTCTGTCTGTAGCCGGTGTTTCCGTAGCTTCCTTGGGCCGGGTAGTATCCGCCTTGGCTGGGGTAGCCGGACCCACCTACCGGATACCTACTTCCCGTATTCGTGTAGCCTGGGTAGCCGGGGTAACCTGCTCCTTGCACCGGATATCCCCCGCCTTGCACGGGATAGCCGCCGCCTTGACGTGGAGGCACGTTTGCGCCTTGCATCGGGTAGCCGGGGTAGCCGGAGCCGACCTGTCCGCCGGTGTAGCCGCCACCGCCAATCGGATATTGTTGCCCGGGCTGGTAGACGTTGGGGCGCGGGGTTGTCTGTCGTCCGCTGGGCGGAAGTTGCGGATAGACTCCGGAATTGGGATAGCCGGGGTACTGTCCCGGTTGCTGAGGATAGTTCGGGTTGATCGCCGGCTGCTGAGGGTAGTGAGGGTTAATCGCCGGCTGTTGCGGGTAATTGGGATTGGAGGGATAGTGCGAATTGGGGTTCGATGGAAAAACGGGAGCGTTCGGCATGTTTTCGCTATCGGGCGAAATGGGTTGGTAGGATTCTACCGGGCGTTTGTGTTCGCGATTTGTTGATACGGCTGAAATTGGTTGATGAGATAAATGTTATCCACTATAGGCAGTGATTGGTACCTGGGTTATCGTAACATCTGGGTCGCGAGCCGTCCATTTTGCAAATTTGGCTAGGTGGACATACGTATTTCTCGCATGACGCAACTACATTGGACATCTTTTCGCATGTGGGATATCTGAAACAGTTTATCTTTATTTTTATGGTGAAATTCGGGGCGGAGGATAAGTGTAAAAGCACAAATTTGTGTTTCTGGAAGAGTGTGATTCCTAATCGAAGGTGCAAAGTTACCAAATTAGTTGAGATCGAGTCGTCCAGCTCATGACCAAGATCTTAGGATATAAACATTTAGTGGTCGTAGTTGGGTAGATACTGTAACGGGAGCCCATGAACGTATTTTCTTGGATTCGATTCCAGTGTAAGGGCGGGAAAAATATCCCTACAACAAAGGGCCCTGCGCGTCGTAAGGGACTAAACAATAGCAAGTCAGTTGCAACCTCGGCGCTGAAGTTGCAGAGTGTACGTGGAGGGGGAAGATTTTTACTGATTACGACTTTTTTCCGATTAGTAACAAATGTTTACAAGAATTAGATGGTGCAGGTTAGATTTTAATACGATGGGGTTTATGAGTTTTAGTATGTTCTTCAAACCGTGCCGCTTCTCGATAATCATTCGGGTTGTTTCTGTCTCGTTTTAAGTTCAGCACTATTAATGTGCGGGGATGCTGTAACGGGTGGCCGCTTTGCAGTTTTCAAAATTATTTTTTCGAATTCGGATTTCGCTTAACATAGGGAAATTTACACATAATTGCTTTATAGAAACCTTGAACGAAAGTATGTCTCGTGATAAGAGTTGTAATGCTACTTATGAATGCTGCTTAAGACTTCTGAAGCGTTTTGGATGGAAGTCAGAAGCTGTAAATGGAGAATTTTTATAATATGCGGGGTAGTGTTTGGTTTACGAATTACGATGTTGTGCTTTCCTCTTGTGTCGTGGTCATACATTTCCAAACTTCACAGGAAAATGCAAAATGTTACACCAGAACTAATTTGTAACGGTAACTCTAAATTTGCACTTAAATACTTTTCGAAATTTCGTTGGATAGTTAGAACTTTTGGAATGTTGACGGTAAGAGCAGTTTATACACTGCATATCATAGAAATTCAAAATGGGTAAGAAAATTAGAAGATTGATTTTTTCCCATAATTAATTGACTAGTGAAATGAAATTCTTAAAACCATGGTGCAAATGAAAGCTGTCTTTGTCTGCGTCGTTTAATTTCAATAGCGCTTTGTTTCTTAATGTGTTTCGGAACAGTCGGAGACTAGACGTCTGAAATCATATTCAGTCATTTTAATTAGGGCTATTTAGTTACAAGTGAACACTCGGCGTGATGTTATGCAGCAGCGTGGAAAGTGCAAATTTGGTATATTTGAGCAATACGTGAGAACGATTTATCACCCTAACTGTTATTTGATTCGTGGGGTGGAATTTAAGTAACGAATTTAAGAATTAAATAATATATCCGTTTGCGGCATCAATTCGCAATTTTCTGGGTAGGAATTAATTAAGTTATAACAGCAAGTGTTAGTGTGGTAAGTTTTTGAGAGGATTCAGTCTAAAATTTCCAAGTTCATGCAAAAAATTTCGTTACGAACGACGGAGTTTTCCGAAAATTTTACAATTCAAAACGGGCGAAAACCATCGGAAGTAAAAGAAGATTTTCCGTTCAAAAGTATATCTAAAAAAGAGATTAAACGGGATATCTAAATTTAAGAAATTATTTGTTGAAATAAATTAAGACAATTGTATTCAGTCGAGGACGAATTGATTAAGCGCGCAGTTTTGAAGTGGTTTGGTCGCTACAAAGGATCGATTGTTTATGTGGATTGCAAAATTACACCTGCGCGTATGTAAAATATCATTAAAGGTATTGATAGTAGTTGATAGTAACTCATCCAAAACTAAAAAAAATTGTTTAGTTTTGTAGTTTTGAGAAATGCTTCACGTAATTTATTCTTTTGAATTACGTGGAAAAAATATTAAGGAAAATCTTATTTTGAAACGTTCTTAAAGTTAGCAATTTTACAGCAGTTTCGCTCCGTTCGTATTGTATGTATTTTGTATAAACTCATTGGTATCAGAACCATTGGGAAATTTAGTTTTGCATTGAAAGTTATGTTTAATTTCAATAAAGAAAAAATTCCAAGTGAATGAGTTTAATATGAATAGTTTATAGGTTGTGTTTTGTGTAAATATTTTGCCGTCGCCTGTTATTATCTTACATATTATGCCTAAAATTTATAAAAAACTTGACCCACGAGAATATTGATGTATAAGGTACATAAAAATATCTCATATATTAGAAGCGAGGTGTAGTGGCATGGTGCTGCGCTCGCACCCGCTATTGTCATAGGAACCACTAACTAGTACCTGTGAATAAACAATAATGCTATACGTCTTTCGCTATAGAAACCGTTGCACGTCATTGATTTGTGTATCAATTTCAGACATATGCTGCAACACTGCAACATGTACAAAAAAAAGCAAGTGTGCGAAATCTATAGAAAACTTGTCTGAAATTGATTCATAAATCAATGACGTGCATCGGTTTTTATAGCGAAAGACGTATAATACGTTAATACGTTGATGCGAACAACTACTGATTTTCATTTGGGATGCAATTCATTATCATCCGCGCTTTCCCATAATTTAAACGGAACATTAAGTGCGAGGTTAATGTATAACAGTGTTTATCAATGGGCTACTCACAAAAATTCCAGAGAAAATTACCACGTGTTGAAATGTTTTAGCGTTTACCCATTTTCCTCTATAATCACGCATGCGTGTTAGACAACTTCCTTATTTGTGGAGCAATTTGATCGAAATTTTTGTTGTAGGTTCCTCTAATAAATTTTTTTATCGTCCCACTCATCTTAAAGCGCCTTGGCACCTGACTCATGACACCAGTTCCTTCTGAGCTGATGTACAGAAGTAAATGTATGAGACCACTACGACTACCAATCACTGACACGCAGGAGCAAAAAGGAATCGTATTGTTAGAGATTTTTTATTGACCCTAAGATTGTGAACTTGAGATCGCTTATCAATCTCCGAAAAGTTAAGATTGAGATATGTCAAATTTGGGTCTCAAACCAACATCGGGCAAAGGAAATGTCTCTGTATGGTCCTTTTTATATTATTACACATTAGTTGCACACAGCACATGTAACTATTTGGATTGTTAAACCGCTCCCTCCTCCACTCACGCACCAGAAAACATAGTAGGAGGCCTGACACCTAGGTGCCGCCAGGTTAACGACTTGGCAGTGTACCTTTCCTAGTAAACTCTGGAAATAGAACATTTCTAAAAATGAAGAAAATTTGGCTGTTTTTTTCAAATATGGCGGACTGTCAATATCGAAATCTTATTATTAAGACATGGGCGAGATGGTTCCTACCTTTTTTTTTTTTTGCTAAAATAGAGATTGCATATTAAAGGTGATTGTACTTCTCAATCAGCTCAAACTGATTGTACTTGTAAGGTGCAGTAAGATATGCTTTAAAAATTCTTACCTACAAAAATTATGGTAGGTTTTATTACAAAAAAAACGGAGAAAAAAATGTTAAAAAACTAATTTTTTTTTGGGAAGCCGGTCATTTTGATTTCGTTAAAATTTTGGTAGTGTTCATTAGACATAAAACTGTCAAAAACTTTTTTTATATCTGGTTTGAGCTAGGAAGCTGTTCTGTCAAGAATTTCGCACCTGATGATCTCGTAAGCCGGAAGAGAAACAGAGTCGCTTAATAAGTAAGTAAAGTTATGCAGAATTTTCGTTTCAAAATTTCTCCAGAAATTGCGAAGTTCTGACCAAAAAATCGAAAAATGTGATTTTCGACAATGCGCTACCGACCTGGCGTTCATTTATTTTCGAACATATTAAAAAATAATTTTAACAAACCCTTAGTGATTTTTCAATCTTTCTTATTTCTTATGGATTTTTACGTCGTTAGAAAGAGTAAAAAATTGCAACATCGGAGATACCAAATACTTAGTATTTCATTCGGAAGTTAATCTTGAATTTGTGCATTGAAGATTGCAATGTCTTTCTTATAGCAATAAATCCATGGCTTAAGTACTTAAAATTATTTAACATTTTTCGTTTATTGTCTGGCATAGTGTTCATCAAGTGGAATTATAATTATGGCCATAAGTAATACACATTGTAAACTTCAATGCAAACATTCAAGATTAATTTGCGCATAAAATACGAAGTGTATGTAATTTTTTCTCTACCTCGTGCAAAAATCCAATATGGCGTCAATAAGGAATAATACAGTTGATGTGATTGACCTGAAAACCACAAGTCATAAAAATTTGATTTAAGCATCGTCAGAAAGCTTAGAGGAAATTACCAAATGTTGTTAAAATTATTTTTTGATATTTTTTAAAAGAAATGAACTCTAACGCGTTCTCGGAAATAACATTTTTCTGTTTTTTTTTGGTCATAACTTTGCTATTTGTAAAGATAACAAGAGACTTTGAAAGGGAAAATTAATCAGCATAAAATTCTGCATAACTTTGCTCATTTAAGCGATTTGAGGGTTTATAACTTATAAGATACCCATAGTCAAAATGAAAAAAAATTAACCTTTACAATAATACTTATTTTATTCCTGTACGATACAAATTTTTGAGCCAAATTTGCCGCACCCTAAATCTGCCACCAGATCCAAACACAAACTTAAACATTTTATTGTTACCGGCCGAACTAAAGGGCTAAAGGTGCGTGATTAAACATTCTTACGAAACACTGACCTGAAATTATCAAAAGTGTAGGTACAAAAAAAGGATTTTGAAACACCGTTTTGGGAATTGCAACCCTCTATTTAGTTTATGATCAATGAAAAGATACAGTCTTGTAGAAACTTTTGCAATTGGAGCAATGAACTAATACTCTCGAAAAGTCGATAAGCAAACCGAATCACAAACAAAAATAATGAGTCAATATCTAAACAATAAACAAAGCAATCGCACGTAATGAAATCTTACTGTGTCATACATCTTATAAATAATTACTCATTACAAATTGTTTACCACAATATAGAATTCCCAGCAAACATTAGATTAATTGTGGGATACGTATACGTTATGCGCGGAAAATGGCCAAATTTGGTAAAATATCGAGCACCAAGGGCATCGTCCATGGTCAAATAATACTTACGTTCCACACTCGTCCCTGTTGTATGTGGTACATGTTTTTTCCTTGAGGACGCAAACCTCATTGCTCAGGCATCCTATGTCTTGGCAGGTTCGTCCATATTCTGGAAGGAAAATAGGTGTTACTGGTCGTTCTATTTCTTATTTACCTTCGCTTTATTTAATTTATTAATATCGGGTAAGGTTACGCAAAGAACTGGTTACAAAGTGGATATAAACCTCGAATACTTGTTCCGGATACGGAAGAAACTTCTTTTGATATGAGTTAAGTTATGGTAATCAGACACCCTAGTACTGTTTTCAAGGTTTTGGCACTTTTACTTAAGTGGTTATGTTGGTTAAGTATTTATCAGCTTACACAAAGCAAACGTATCCGTTTTCGCATACTTAGTTATAATAATAAGTCCATACTTATTAGACCATTTGCATAATTGGAGCAATTGGCTTAACATGAGACGCAGTTACACTCGCATTGTGAGCATGTGCGGACTTTTAATTCAAAATTTCGCCAAAGGACTATGATCTGCAATACAGATAAAATGAGACTGTCGGTTTTGGGGCATCCGATTCACGGTCCACCTCACGAGAGTAACAGAAAGATTTTGAACAAATCCAGAAACTATTAATGTGCAGTCTTTTAAAATTCCGTATTTGGAAAATCCAGTTTCGAAAAATCGCGTACGTTCGGAATTCAATGTATCTAAAAATCCCTTTTGATTAGAACAGTTTCCTCAAAAAATAATGCTCAGCGCCATTACTTACAGCAGATCTTCGTTTACCCTTCATAACCCAACCACTTATTTAATGTGACAGATTTCAAGTCTCGGTTTTTTCGTTCGTCGCTGTATTTTGAGGAGATTTACAAGTATCAAAAACTTTCAGAGGCAATAGATTGAAGGACAGTTTCTCGGATAAATGCATTCGCTATTGTACTGCGGCACATTCTGTAATTTCAATTTGGAAAATAGCCGCCTACACGAGGCAAATTTCCACACGAGTATTTATGGTATACTATACAGAATGCATCTGTGGACTCGTGAATTTCGAACTTTTTGATCCATTACATTTAATGAGTGACGTGCCTACGAGGGTTATTCAAAAATTACGTAGACTGTTTGAATTGCGCGGGCCTATATTTGGCTCCAGGAACTAGCTGTTTGTTGATTGCAAAAATGATTATTGGTTGATTAGCCGACCATCAGAGAGCTTGCTGCAAACTGTGGTATATCAGTTGGATCATGTTACGAGATTTTGACTGAAAAATTGAAGATGCAATGCGTTGCTGCGAAATTTAACGAACGACCAAAAAGCCCATCGCGTCCAAGTTCGTCAGGAAGTGTTTGAACGTTCAAAAGATGAAAACTTCTTGCCGAGGATCATATGTCCCAGTGGGTGCCTGTCTGGTTTGATGAACATCCAATTTGTTTTGGGTAGTGTTAGGAAAAGCTTACTTTTAGATTTAAGGTGTTTGTAATTGCTTTTAAATTTTATTAAGTGTGTTTACGAACACAGTAAATTTAGAATCTTGTGTAATTTGGGTAAGCCGAGTGTGTGATTGTTTGTGAAAATAAATACAACTACATTTTGTTTGTAAATCTAGTTTTTGTGGCTCTTGGAAATCATTTCAGTGACGCGTAGTGGGGTGACAGCCTCATTTTTTAAGCGTTAGCTCTGCAGTTCTGCCTAATATTGCAGTAGTTTGTATTTTTGTGTGTGTTATACTGGGCGACCAGCTGGTTAACGCAACAAAAGAATTGCTTTAAAGGCACCAAAGCTTAATAAGTACACATGTTGACAAAATAATTGATAATGAAGAAGAAATGTGTGACGATATTTTTTACCGTTTAATCTTTGCTCTGGCTTTCATTTAAATTACGATGTGGAATCCCGCTCAAATATCATTATACGAATTCTTGTCTTTATATAGCAATGCTTACGTCATCTAGGTGATTACTTCGTTATTGTAAGTATAGCTTTCTTTTATGATCTTCCCGTAGTAGATTTCTTCTCGTGCGTTTTCTCCCATTTCTGTCGGCGCGCGCAGTCCTTGTCGGAAACTCGTATTCGATTCTTACTGTGTAAGCAGTTACATGCCATTAAGTTACTTGACATTTTTTGGCTACCATTTTATGGGATATACTGGTGTTGTCTTACGATTAGTGAAGTTTCTTTTATTATCTTACTTCCAAGCTGCGTTGACGCATTTTTGCGGATTTATCTTACAAGTTTAAGGCCGTGTGTAAATTGTTCGATTACTACGTTACTACGTTTTAGTTTGGTCGTTACCGAAGTTTCGATTTTAACGATAACACCACCTGAGATTGTTGACACCATAGTTTTGTCAAATACACTTCGAGACTTTAGACATTCTAAACTGCTCATTCGCAGTGAGATACTTTTTTGACGAGTATTTTTAGTTCAGTGGCGGTATAATGAAAAAGTATATGAACTAATAGCTCACCAATCCCCCAAAGTCGTAAAATCACCAGGTGACTGGGACTAGCAAGCGACCGAAATTTAGTCGCCAATACTGTATGCGAGAAGTTTGCGTGAGTAAACGGCTCCATAAGACGCAACACGTGTATCCGAGATGCCAGCCTGACGGCGACTGTATCCCCGTGTAAAAGCGGTCTAAGCGTTGATGTCTTTTTTATTTCGACACATACTGTTCTTGATTAAGTAAGGTCCCTGTAACAGGGATTACATTCCAGCATTTAATTTTTACTAATTTTTCTAATTGCTGTCTCGACGTCAAATTTCTAAACGGTCAACAATCCTTAAAATAAAAAGGTCCTTACTGAATACAAATATTAAAAAATACAATTTACCTTAAACGTAAGACGTCTAAATCTACCCTCCAGTCGTCCAGCTTTGGAAAAAACTGGACTCCTCTCTAATTATGATTCGAGAACATGGAAACTCGGTTTTAAATTTCCGGGGTTGATTTTCGTTCGAATTGTGCAATATTGTTTTAAACACGCACAATCTAGCTTTCCCCTTACACAAATTTATTAATAGCGCACCATAAAGTGAACCCTAAGTCTATTTACTTGATCTCCTTTCACCTACGGATTTTTAGCTTGAGCTCACAGAAGCTCTAATGCGAATCTAAAAAATCACAGTCATTTTAATGTAGTCTATAGCTTGGCTCAGGACCATACTTGATTTTTGAGATCCCATTCGAAATTCTCCGCTCTAAATTAAGCTCATAATTAATTCAAACGGCAGTTACTGCGCGATCGGCAATCTTCGTGCTATAAGGCGGTGCCGTCAAAGTTATCTTCTCGTTTTAAGTGGAAAAAGAAAGAGAAAACTTGCCCGCAAGTACCTACGTATGCCGATTCCCACCCAGAATCTCTGTCCGACGGCGCTATTAAAAAAACTCCGGTCCCCACCACTGGGGGGGGGGGGTGATGGAGTGACCAGCGACAACTCGTAGAATACGTCGAGATCTACAATCGCACAATTTTACGTTTTGTTCTCTAACGGTTTAGGTCGTAGAAGGTCTCAAAGTTAGAAAATGCGAAAAACCCCCTTTTCGATAGAGACGCTCCGGGTCGCGCGGTTTCCATATTCGAGTTATCCCCCGAATCCCACCACCGCACGAATACGCTCCTCCACGTCCCCCACAATCTCCAGAAAACCGCAAAAGGAAATTCGGTAACGTTTTCGAACGAATTTTTTCCAAAATTTTCGAATTTTTCGCTTCTTACGGCAACTACCTCGAAGGGCGCCGGAGCAATTTTCTTAACCTCACAAAAAGTACCAAATAATTATCGAAACCCCCGAACCGGCGCCTGGACGTCCTAGCGCGAACGGTACGGGAGCGGCGAATTTCTAATCGCGCCGGCGCACAACGACGTTGCCAAATTCTCAAAAATTTCATCCAAATGGCCGTACGAATTACGAAATTAAAAATGCAAATCCAGTACTTGCCTGACTTTACTATTGAACGCGTTTCTTGTGAATCTCATCTTATCTTTCCTTATCTCGCCCCAGACAGTGCCAGTAATTTCCCATGCCGTGTCCTGTCCTTCACTTTACAGAAATAAACAGCGTTCATTTGGAAATTATCGATTTAAATGACATTTAGGATAACCAATTTTGGAACACCAGCCCCTTAAAGAGACCAACCTAGAGACCAACTGGCACTCTTAATTTGTTTTCTGCGCGGGAAAAGTCCCCTAGTATTTTTTACAATTGTTCGAAAGTTCTAAATACGAACCCATCCCCAAAGGTTTCTTTTCACTGTATATTTGCACGCCGTATGCGAAATGACTAATGCGCAATTAGTACTACTTTTTATTTTCCCAATGCGATTATTTACACCTATTCCAATTTAGATTAACGAATAGTTTGGCGCTAATTTTCACCTACGGATCTTTAATTTAAGCTTACATTATGCTCTAATGCGAGTCTAAAAATCACTGATATTTTGACGTGGCCTCTACGCCGGCTCAAGACCAAATGATTTTTTCCGCGCTCTTAAAATGTTACAATGAGCAATAACTTTGGCCGGCTGACTGGCTGGCCGGTAGCAAATGCGGAGCCCTAGAAGAACGCTTGTACAAAAACGAGGAGTGTACATGTACCTACTGGGGCCGTGTAATTAACACCTGTGCGGACGGGGCTACACGATGTCGGGGTCGGCGACATCTGGGCGCCATCACCGAGTGTTATACTAACGTAGTGATTGTTCAGTTTTCTTCTTCTACAGTCTTAGTAGACTCTGTTCGACTGTCACATATGCGTCACCATCGGTAGGTATAGAATTTCGAAGAGCAGAGTAGGTCTTCAAAAAAAGGGGACTATGTCGTCTAACATGGAAGAAAGGCATAGGTAGACGTAGGTAGGTACCTTACAGATAAGCAAGTAGAAGATAGTATGGTTGAATTTCAGAATTTAAGAAAAAGTGCGGCGCGATGAGAAAGCTTATGGTAGTAATCCGAGAGAGGTTTCCATGACAAAAGCAAATGCAAAGAGAGCAAACGTCTCCAGAACGTACAGCTCTTCGGCGTGGGGGTTGATTAGTGGAGGGAAGAACAGTAGAATGCAGAAGAACTGTCGATTTATCAAAACAGATGATGTTTGAGGTGCATTGGATCCAGCTAGGTGGGAACCTTAGTTTCATTGTAAATTATTACGTGTTACACAATACCAATTTAAAACGGTTCAAGAGTTCAATTTTACAAAAAAAAAATGATTTCAGTGCATTTAAGTTGACCTAATATTGATAATTTCAAGATCCTCCACCTTTAAATTACCTACTTTGCACAATAATAAATTCACTTTCTTTGGTTAGATGCAGTGATTCACACCGGTTTTCCAAATAATACATTCTGTGAGAACACTTTGCAGTTTTATTTAATGAAAATTCATTGTGCTGTTTCAGATTGGCCGAATTGATGTTTGTCAATCCAAAAATTCGCAGAAAAATTTAAAGAAATTAATCGATCTTTTCGTACTGTCATTCATTTAAACGTAATTACATTATCTTTTAATTATAGTGCGTCTTCGTTAGAAGGTTATCGTTTGTGTGGAGGTTACGCCAATTTTGATAATTAACACGATGTTATATTACCTACCTAATCTAATAAAAATTCGCGCTCTGTCTCATTATGAATATTGCCCGACCTACATCCACCTATTATGTTATGCACTTTAGAAACATCCGACTTTCCCTCCAAAAATAATGCGTAATTTTAAACTGGAAAATTTAGTATCGTAGATATAGGTATATGGATGGTAATGCATATTATTGTAACGTAGGTACCCTAACTTCATTTTAAAGCAGAAATTAATGTACGCACCTCGTATGAGTGCTAACGATTACTTACTTGAATACGCGTCTGCTAGGGTAACAACTACAACTAAAATAGAAATAGTCAACAGTCTCGTCATTTTCGTCGATTATCTGAAAGTAGAAAAGAAGAAATTATTTTCACCGCGAGCGCGTTTTTATTTCATTTCACAGTACGAATAATTGCACAAACAACGGACGGACGAGGTGCGCAAAAATGAACGGAAAATCTATACAACAAATAAACTGCGCATGATTGCGAGACGAATTCGCCTACATTTCGAAAACCGCATCATTTACCGAAATCTGCGACATTTACCTGATTCAAATTATAACTTGCGCCGAGAGATCTAAATACCTACTGCTGTGTATCAATGAGGCGATTGTATTTCTACACTTACGACATGCGGCGTTGCCATTTAGATGGTCGAATTCGCGTTGCCTAAATTGTTATCGAATTACGCGTCGAGATTCGTCGGGTAATGCTCATGATTAGTTTGTCGCATCGATCCGATTCTATTCGCGAGAAGCTGTTATGCCATGCAAATTTTGACGTAATCGATTACTGGCAACCTTGCGTAGTCCTGGCGCGGAATGATGACCGTGACGTCACGAGGACAAGGTTATGCCGCCGCGCCGTTTGAATGAGTATAAATAAACTTTCATCGTTTCCAGTATTGAGCTAAAATTAAAGCTGAAAATTAGGTTACTGCCTCTGTTGTTGTTGAATGAGGTAGTGGAGAGCGTCGCTTAAACGAGTTCACTAAAGAATAAAAGAACGCGATACTTACCTATGCGCTATTAGAGTAATCGTTAGTTTAACTTTAAATGGATAAACGACCTTTGTCAAGGTTCATGTTAATTTAACTGCACGTCGATTGTAGTTTGGCAATTTCTATTACAGCATCCCAGCTTCACTGTTAATAAACATCTCTTGTAAAGTGAACATTACAATAACTTCCACTTTTACTGTTTACGCAAAATTAAAACAGATAGGTAGCTACCTTTTGACAAACCAGTGGTGAAATCACTTTTTCATGAATTAGATGACAAGAATGCGCTTCATTACCTTGTAACGACGCATCTACTTCACAATCCGAGACGACCCATACTTTTGGAGCACCCCGTATTACATAGTGTATTCATTATTCAATAGTATCAATACCGCCCTCATTTGCTGTGAGAATTTTTATGGTGTCCAAAACTATAAAAAGTTTGCTACCAATTTGCGTACTTTAAATTTATGGCCAGTGGCATATGATGAAGGGGGGCATATTTTTTAATGGCAAGTACTAGTTTTTGTTACATATTGTTAAAGATAGCCTTTATTGTTCGGATATAGCAACATAAAATAGTATATTTCATTAGGAGTCCGGAAAGCAGGCTTTTTCCGTGCGCGCGTGACAAATTCCCGTGTGAGGCGTAGCGCTAGCGACCATATTTTAAGGTAGTCCTTAGTAACGAAAAAGTAAAATGTCAACGCAACCCCTATTTGATAAATGTGGCAAGCTGTCTTAGTCAAGTATGCGCGATTCTGCACATATGGGTGCAAGGGTGTTAAGGGATCGTGTTAAGGCAGTTACGTACGCGCTCTGGTCACGATCGGATAAGGGATGCTAAATAGAGCATCGGACGTATTAGTGAGTTTGGTTTAATAGCCCTTTAATGTGAGTGTCTCTCACGTGCAGGTGGTGGAGTGTCTCCCACGTGTAGGTGGTGAGTGTATTGTGCAGGCCATCGTGCTGATCGTGCTTTGTTGTTGGGCTATGGTAAAACCCCTGGCAGATATCGGGATATATTCCTAGGCTTTTAGAGTGCATTATGTACATGTGCCTATGACGCGGTCCCGCGAGTAGCTCCCGTTGATTATACCGCTGAGTGATCTACTCGCTCGAGTAGATCATGGTGTCGACTCAATACGAAACATAAAGGCCTCATTGTTAACACAAACAGTTCGGGGGTGAGCTCGACCTGGATGTCGTTCCCAGGTAGGGCAATGAGCGACATAGATCGACGTTACTGATCTATTGGCCGAGGGTCCTGATCAGAGGGTCGAGGCGGGATGTTTATCCTAAATAATACACGCGCGCGCGGCGTAAGCCTTTCCCAAATAGGTATGAGTTCTATCTTAACCCTTCAGGAAGTCATCCTCAACGACGCATTCAACCCCAATCGCCAACCGGAGTGTTCGGAGATCCAGCAGAGCTTCGTGCCAGTTCGGAGCTGACGCCCCCCGGCGAGTTACCTAATTAATTGGCGAGGATCGCGGTTAAGCAGTCGCGATGTTTGTTCACATGACCCTTGAGCGCGGAAGACGACCAGGCAGACTGAATGCTGCCATGTCAACCCCTTATGCGTAGATTACAGACGGTCGTTTCTAATGATAGGTGAGTTTACAGTGGATTTGTCGCATTTTAATAATGACTTCTGACCAACAATTAGCTCCCATTTAATTAGCGACTTCCCTTTTCGTTATATAAAATACCCCTCATTACATTATAATATAATATAATATAATATAATATAATATAATATAATATAATATAATATAATATAATATAATATAATATAATATAATATAATATAATATAATATAAATAACATAATATAATATAATATAATATAATAAAATAAAATAATGATTTGATATGACCGAAATGGAAAGTGCGCTTGAACGGTCCAAAGATACGGCCCCAGGGCACGACGAAATATCCTTCAGCATGCTGAAGCATCTGCCCCCTGAAGCCAAAAATGCACTGCTGCAGTTATATAATAACATATGGAAGGGCAACACTTATCCAGAGTCGTGGAAACTTGCAACAATTATACCGCTGGCAAAGGAGAATAAGAACAATTCACAACCGGAAAATTTTCGCCCAATTTCCCTCACATCATGCTTGTCCAAGATTATGGAGAGAATGGTTAATAATCGATTAGTGAGTATGCTGGAGAAGGATGGTCGAATAAGTAAATATCAAGCCGGGTTCAGGAAGGGACACTCGACAGTGGACTGAACACGCCACTGCGGTATTTTTTGATATTAAAAAAGCGTACGACACAGTATGGAAATACGGAGTTCTAGAAACACTGCATAGGTGGGAGTTCCGGGATCACTTGCCAATATTTATCGAAAATTTTCTAAAAGATAGAAGAATACAAGTTAGGATGGGTGAACATTTATCGCAGATCGTTACGCAAGAGAACGGGATACTCGGGCTCGGTGCTCAGTGTTACCTTGTTTGCTATAGCAATAAAAACATAGCAGACGCAATCTCCATAGACACAAAGGCCTTATTGTATGTCGACGACTTGTGTATAGTAAGAACTGGCCATAATGTTAACAGCATGTATGAGGCACTGCAGATGGATATAAATATATTAAGTGAAGAGGCTACGAAGCGAGGGTTCGCTTTCTCCACAAACAAAACAAAGGCAATGCACTTCTGCCGTCTCAGGAAGACCCACCAACTTCCACCCCTATATCTACAGGGTGACAAATTACCCACAACTGAAAATTTAAAATTTGTAGGGTTAATCTGGACACAAAGCTTACCTGGAAACATCACATTGAAGCAATATCATCAAAATGCAAACTTACTCTAAACAGGATTAGGGTGCTCAGTGGACATACCTGGGGAGCGGACAAGGAAACGCTCACAAAGGTAGTCAACGCCTTCATTAGGAGTAAGTTGGAATATGGGTCGGTGGTATACACATCGGCGGCCAGATCGCAACTTAAAAGTATAGAAGGGGTGTGGAACAAAGCCATGCTATTAATAACGGGGGCATACCGCACATCACCAATAGACAACCTCAATGTCGAAAATAATTCGTTACCCATTTACTTGAGATTCAAGCAGCAACACCTTAGGTATGCGGTAAAGTTACTTGCACAACCATCCCATTTCTTATTTGAAGTTATCAAAAACCCCATACTACACCCCAGATACGAATGGCAACAGACCAGAACTATACCGGCAATTGTGAAATTGAATAAAGAAATACGGGATTATGGAAAATTAGATGGAAACCCGTGGGAAGAAGAAACACCGGAATTTGATAGGAAAAAGGTCACCGATTTTCTTTTAAAAGAAATAAACAAGGATTTCGTTGTAAAATGGCAGGAAGTATGGTCGACAAAGGAAACACACCTTAGAGTAATCCACCCACAGTTAGAGGGGAAGAGGTGTACCAAATGGCAAATTAAAAGAAAAGATCAGATTGCAATAACAAGACTGAGAATTGGACATACTCGATTAACCCATAGTCACCTCCTATTGGGAAAGAGAAATAAAAAATGTGCCCAGTGCGGGGAAACCCTGACGGTGCAACATATTATGAACGATTGCATTAAACTAGATACCTATAGACATAAATATAATATATCCTTAGGGGTACTAAACAATCCTGTAAAATACACGGATGTAATAAAATATCTGAAAGAAATAAATATATATACAGAAATATAGATATATGGCAGAAGACTTACCTTAAGAGGAATGCCAATTACCAGTGCAGTAGACGCTTCCTCCGGTAGGTCTGGGTTGATCTGGAAAAAAAGAAAGAAAAAAAATATATAATATAATATAATATAATATAATATAATATAATATAATATAATATAAATATAATATAATATAATATAATATAATATAATATAATATAATATAATATAATATAATATAATATAATATAATATAATATAATATAATATAATAATATGAAACGCGATAAATAGGTCTGAAAAAATTCTTCCTCCTACACTTTCCAGAGGATCCTTTCCTGCGCCCCCACAGGACATGAGAAAGAACCGATGTAATTCATAGGAATCATTTTAGAAACTTAAGTTTAAGAAAACTCTTAACGCTTTATGAACTTACAAGCGGTTTTTTTGCGGATTTCAAAGATTTGCAACACAATCGAAAGCTCTACGCGCTTCAATGATACCCTGGCATTCTTCCAGGTCTCTTGAAACACCTTTAGAACCGACGAGCTAGGATTAAGGTGAGTATAAAACGCTACTGAACGAATTCCTTTTTTGGTCTTGTTCACCCTACTAATACTCAACTTTTCAGAAGTTTGTAAACCATCTCAATGGGTTTAGGCATAAGATGCGGTATTTTCCTTTTAAATTAGGAAATTGCGTAGATCGCTGGATAGGGCGATAACCACAATATGCAATGGCCTAGGCTTTTTCTGAAAATTTGTGTTACACATTTCTGCGCCTACGTTTCTTCTTTTTTTTTGACCAAGAAGGATGCCACAGTTTATATAAGAAGGAACTGAGGTTAAATTCAACAAAATATTTAGAAAAGTTAGTGTTTTTGTGTTTAAAATATTTTCAATAATTCTAATTTTACCACAAATAGAGTTATTGAAAAATGCTGTAGCGATTTATTTTCTCTGTTACGAAGCATTATCTTTTCCTTCTAGAGCCGTATCGAAGTACACGATGATGAAAAAACAGCTGAATGCGTAAGGTAGAACCCATGGAATTCTAATTGCCATCATCCGAATATATTGATCTCTGACGATTGGATTCATAATGTGAGAAGTAGGTAATTAGTGTGGACGGGATTCACCTGTGATCATAGTGAGGTTATACATTTGCGTTCTTCCCTTTTATCGTAAGTACCGCCATGTGCATTTCGTTTATTTAGAGTGCACTCGCACAGCTGCGTATGCGTCTGTCCGAAATCTTTTCAGCCATTCTCTTTATGTCTAAGAATACGGGTACCAAATTTGACATGGGTACAGGCAGACAGACCGACAGATCGCTCCGGATTCCTGATGCTCTAAAGCATGTATTTCCGTCAAAAAGTGGGGCCACTTTTTACCTCAATACTTACTAACATGCGAGTGATAAAAATCAGCTGGTTCCGTGGTACGACCAGACCAGAGCGTCCCCCACTCCCACTATCTCGATTTTTTGTATGCAGCTTAGTAAATGTTTGTATAATAAAATGGTCATATAGTCCTACAAATTTAGTGCTACGTTTTGCTAGTCCTACGCTTGGAAGTTGTTTAACACCTGCGCAAATCATTAGCACCTCTCGAGAATTTCCACAGAGAAAAAACTTTACTGTCTCGTCGAATCCAACCTACTCACAAAGATTCAGCCTATAATCCAATCTTCGGAATCACAAAAATAGACTTGAATCCTATAAGGCTTCTAATTTAACATACAACACGTGGATAAATTGCACGTATCAAACCGCTTTGGATATTACGGAGGTTCTCCAACAAGTCGTAATACCGTGTAATACCGTATAACGAGTTCTCCGTAATGGAGAAAATGCAATGTTATACATTCTTACCACGATGACGTAGCTCTCAATTTAGCGAATCCTAAACCATGCACCAGACTCTGCGGTCAGAACTTGGTCAGCATTACGTAAACTGTAATGCATGGTTTATAATTTCGACTTGTAAAACTTCTCCTTTCCGTAGGTTGTAGATAAGTTTGGCCGTAGTAAATCTAACAATATATCAGAAATAGACCACAAACGTATTCCTTAACGCCCCCAGTTATATGCTGTAAGAAGTAAAACTCGGACCTTTCGGTAAAGACTTCTTTTAAGTTTAATAAATGATATACATGTAAACATTTAACACACACATATAAGAACTATAAAAAAGTTAAGTAAAATTCGTTCGATTATAAGTACGTGAAGTCTTGAAATCACAATTTGAGTAGAGCTTAGAATTTGTGGAGGATACCATCGAGCCATTGGTTAACCTTACCCCACGCATTCTTTATTCCTTGAACTAACCCGTTGCTACCCGTGGTGGGGTATTTCTCGTACGGTGGGTACTGAGCATTACCCTGGTGTGGGTAGCCTTGATATTGAGGGTAACCAGAATATTGGGTGTTTGCAGTGGGATAGTAGCCACCTTGTTGGGTTGGATAGCTAGAGGGTTGGTTAGGCTGAGGATAACTACTGGGATAGTACGATTGCGTGGGATACTGAGGGTAAACGTTATTTTCTGGCACGTATCTGTTCGCGTCGTAATTGTAGCTCCTCACTTCCCGCTTGTACGCTCGGCCTGGTTTGTTGTAATTACCGCCTTGGGTACTATTAAAGTTGTCGTTAAAAAACAAGCTGATTAATTTGCAACTGACCTTTTAGTTTGACTTTGATAAAAATCACCACCACCTTGTTGTTGTCCGTAGTTCCCACCACTACCTTGCGGAATCTGGGAGCTTGGCCGACTTGCTACACCATACCCGCTTGGATAATGGATGTTCTGGCTGGGGTAACCGCCTCCAGTTTGAACAGGATAGTTAGTACCGGACTGATGGCCCGTTTGGTGACCGGGATAATTCGTGCCTGTTTGTTGGCCGGGGTAGTTTGTTCCTGTATGTTGACCGGGATAATTCGTGCCCGTTTGTTGGCCGGGGTAGTTTGTTCCTGTATGTTGACCGGGATAATTAGCGCCCGTTTGTTGGCCGGGATAGTTTGTTCCGGTATGTTGACCGGGATAATTCGCGCCCGTTTGCTGACCGGGATAGTTTGTTCCTGTATGTTGACCGGGATAGTTCGTGCTGCCGGCTGGATAATTCGTACCTCCCGCAGGCGGGTACGGTTGTTTAGTTCCAGGATAGTTCGTACCCCCCGAATGATTGGAACCCGACTGATAGCTTGGAGGGCTAGGTTGACGTCCAGTGTAACTACTTCCGCTGTAATGCCCAGGCGCGGACTGCGTACGGGAGGAATATCCTGGAGGAATAGGGTATGTATTTCCGCCTACCGGATATCCGGGGTTGGAACCGCCGTACTGATTCGCGGTTGAGTAGTTTGGACCTTGTGGAGATCTTCGATATCGTCGTCCTTGCGGGTTGCTAAAATATGAAACTGATTATGCTGATATTCTAGAGAGGTAAACCTACTTTTTGGTTTGATCCCGGTAGAAATCGCCGCTAACCGCTGTGCCAGGTTGTCCAGGATACCGAGTTCCAGGGTACTGACTGCCGGGGTATTGTGCTCCGGGATATTGGGCACCCGGATACTGTGTGCCAGGGTATTGTTGACCGGGGTATTGACCAGCTGGATGATGTGCACCAGGGTATTGTGCACCAGGGTATTGTGCACCGGGATACTGTTGTCCGGGATATTGGCCCGGAAGTGGGTTAGGTAAAGGGTGCTGACCCGGGTATTGCCCCGGATATGCTGCGCCAGGGTACTGTCCCGGAAGTGGGTTCATTGGCGGATGCTGTTGGCCTGGATACTGCCCCGGGTATTGGCCTGGATAATTCGTGCCGATATGCTGTCCTGGATAATTAGTACCGTTGTACTGCCCAGGGAAGCCTGGTTGATTGTATGAAGGCAAATTGGGGTAAATATGGCCCGGTTGATTATATGCAGGGTTGTACGGTGCGCTTGGGTTATATCCTGGATTATAGCTCTGCGCAGCCCGCTTTGTTTTTCCCGTTCCTGAAAAATCCGTTGTATTAAACATCTTATAGTCTACATATTTAAGCAGCGTGCAGAGCTATAATCCAGTTCTTTGACTTAAACCGACTATGTTAAAACGTTTTATTATACGAAATTTGTACACTCTTAAGTTATTAATTCAGCAACTTACACTAAAAGTTAATTAAGTTAATAAATTATGGGACGCATGTAGGTATATTACTGCGTCGGCTTTTGCTTTACGCTATTAAAGATCCTATCCCTCAAATAATTTGCTCCGACTTGCGTCACCGTCTTTGCAACCGTATTTAGAATCGGGTCTAAAAATCCTGGCTGATTGCCTCCACGGGGACCTTGCTGTCCGCCGTACCCCTGATTCTGGTACCCCGGGTGTTGATAGCCATGGTTTTGGTAACCAGGGTATCCTTGGTTGGGATATCCTTGATTGGGGTAGCCTTGGTTGGGATATCCTTGGTTGGGGTAGCCTTGGTTGGGATAACCCTGATTTGGATAACCCTGATTTGGATAACCCTGATTTGGATAACCTTGGTTGGGAAATCCTTGATTGGGGTAACCTTGGTTGGGATAACCCTGATTGGGGTAACCTTGGTTGGGATACCCTTGGTTGGGGTAGCCCTGGTTGGGGTACCCTTGATTAGGGTAGCCCTGATTGGGTTGGCCTTGGTTAGGGTAGCCTTGAGTGGGGTAACCCTGGTTAGGGTAGCCTTGATTAGGATAGCCCTGTGTAGGATAACTTTGCGCTGGGTAACCCTGTGTGGGATAACCTTGATTAGGGTAACTCTGAGTGGGATAACCCCGATTAGAGGATCCTTGGCCACGCGACTGATTTGGGTTGCTTTCAGTTGGTTGTCTTTGGGATGGGTTGCCAGCCGATTGTGTGTAGCCTATTTTGTATGTGTTAGGTCTTTCTGTAGTTACTCGGTGCGATCGTGTAGGAGCGCTAGGAGTTGGATCATGCAGATCAGGATATTTGGATTTTGGTGTGTCTGTCTCTGAAGAAATGGGATTATAGCTCTGCCGTTTACGACGGGGGGCTAATAAGTTCTCTGAAAATTATCTTCGAACTGCACTTGAAAAACTAAAAATCCACTTACCTTTATTAACACATCTTGGTTCGTTATGTTTCACTTGACAGACTTGCGTATCGGGACACACGTAGTTGTCGCAAGTCTTCCCTTTGGGTTTCACCCGCTTACAAGAAGGGAATCTATAAGCGTGTTACATTAGCACACATCTCACGACAAATAAGAATCTTACGTTCCGCAGTGACCTTTTGATTGCAACGTACAAAGATCCTCTTCCATTACACATTCTTCATTGCTCATGCAGCCGATGTCCTCGCATGTTCTACCATATTCTACAGGCAAATTTTAGTAAAATGAGCAAAATAGAGAAATTAATCACTTACTCGAATAAGCACTTTCGACACTTGCAAATGCAAGGAGTGTTGCCAAGGCCAAGAGCAGCCGCATTTTGGAACCTACAACAATGGTCTTATAATGTACTAGGTACTATGTACAATATCTTTATTCTATTATTGTAACTAGATACGTCCTGACGGACCTATCACCGCATTTTAGTCCGTTTGTCAATTTTTTTATTTTTTTGCTTGCTTGTTGTGTCATTGTAGTTGATTTTGTAAAATGCGAAAAAAACGGAAAAGAATTATGATTCGGCTCAAAAAAGCACCAATATATCGATAGTATCTCTTTTTTAGTCAAACTCGGGGTTGGTAAAAATGCTTCGCATTTTAGGACTTCACCAATTCCGCCAAAAACGCTGTATTTTTTACGTTTGAGTCTTCATTCTTTCGGTGTAATATATGTATACCTATTCGGTTTTGGATACTGTGTGCCATCTCGTTTCGTTCCATGCTATGGAGTATAGATGACATACGATTCTGTTTTAATTGTTCACCAACCCTTTGTCATTTACTGACAATAATAAAAAAGTTTTGCGCATGCGCAGTATGACCTTCTGCTTATGCATTTTGTTTGCTTTTATTAGAAACCCACCATACAAATTTGGATTCAATTGCTAGTAAGAAGGTTGCGTTTTACGCATGCGCATTACGATTTTTTGCGCATGCATTTTGTTTGGTTTTATTAGAGGGATCTCACACAAATTTCGTTCAAATTACTCCATGAACAAGAAAGTTGCGTTTTGCGCATGCGCATAGGCTATTGGAAGAGTGCGGGATTACAGGTCACCCGGATGTAGATGACTCCCAATCTTACACTTATATAGGACCGCTGACGCATTAAAACACACAAAGAAGATACATTTCGGGCTTGAGGGGCTGCGCCGCCTCGCCTCTCGCATTTACTCCAATCACCGTCCATTCTAGAACGCGACCAAGCAATATTGGGATCTAACGTAAAAAACGGCATGGTTCTAGCTCCCGTTGTTTCCGAATATACGCCAAAATTGCCATGTATAAGGAATGTTGGGGGGGGGGGGGTGGGAGGGGCGTGCGATCCGGCGCCTCGAAAGCGCAATCGAACTGCGAAACCAATGGACAAAACTGCAACTTGAGACGCCCACCTATTCCCTCGCTACGGCGTGATAACATTACCTCTACACGGGGTGACAGGGGGGGGGGGGAAGAAACCTGAATTTAGATGGTGTCCAGTCTCACTCTTGTATAGGACGGTTGTCACATTGCTCGGCTACGCCTCGCACAATAAAACACACAAAAAAGACAATTTCGGGCTTCGGCAGCTGAGCCGCCTCGCCTCTCGCACGATGCTCGAACGCGAATGAGCGGTATAGCAATCCAAAGTAGAAAAACGGCATGGTTCTATCCCCCGTCGTTTCGGAATAAACGCCAAAGCTGTCATCTATAAGCAATGTGGGGAGTGGGGGCGCAACCCGACGCCTCGGAAGCGCAATCGAACTGCGAAGCCAACGCACAAAACTGCAACTCGATACGACCATCCGTTCTCCCGCTAACTGCGTGTTAACTTTACCTTTATGCGGCGGTGGGAGAAGGGGGAGGGGGGGGGTGGTACGAGCTCAAATCACCGTCGATTCTAGAACGCAACCGATTAATATCGCACTCGCACGTAACAAACGGCATCGTTCTAACCCTCCTCGTTTCCGAATAAACGCCATAGTAAGAGAAAAGTGCAATTTATGAACAATTGGGGGGGGGGGGTGAGAGGGGGCGTTCTGAAACACAGTCGAACTGCGAGACCAACGGACAAAACCACAATTCGATGCGTCTCTCCGTTTTTACCTCTTACAGCAGCCCCCACCCGAGGGGGGGGGGCGACAAAAATTCCTATCCTAGCCTGTTACACGTGCCCGTCCTCGGTAACCCTCTGGGCCGCGGCGGCGTCTCGAAGGCTCTTCCGTTTGCCCTCTGGAGGGTGTTTTATGGGAAAAAAACACGAAAGTGAGGGGAGTGCGTCTTCATGTAAAAAAGTTTTCAGAGAAATTAGCATAGTGATGTCCATGAACCTAGCAGAGCAAGGTCAGCAGAACACAATCAAACATATTGCATAATTAGGTGCTAATGAGGTGCTAATTAAGTGCCCTATCTTCGAATTCAATGCTCCTTTTTTTTAATTATTACATGTTCTGCCAGGTTCATAATTTAAAAAAAGGGGCATTTAATTCGGGAATAGGACACTTAATTAGCACATAATTATACTTAGTTCACTTTTCATTTTTTGGTTTTTTGAGGTAGTGCTCTGCTGAGTTCATATGAACCTGGCAGAACATGTAATAATTAAAAAAAAGGAGCATTGAATTCGGGAATAGGGCACTTAATTAGCACCTAATTATGCAATATGTTTGTTTGTGTTCTGCTGACCTTGCTCTGCTAGGTTAATGGACACAGTGGTAATTTCGCCCCTTTAGGTTCCGAGTACTCGAACATAAAAATTCCAATTGGGAAGAATACAAAACTTTGCTTTTAAGAATTCAGTCAAATTAAGTTCATGCTTTAATTAAGGGAAGCCTTTGAACTTCGAAAGTGAAGAAGCACCGAAATGAAATCAAATTATTACCCACAATATTAAATCTGCGCAAATTTCGTCACGTCCCCCTTTCCGCGTTAGAATCGGAATAGGAATTAATAAAACGGGCGTTAAACAAAGATATGTTAATTACAATGGAGTAGGTAATTCAATTTGCTGTTATGAATTTAAGTTCAGCTTCAGGTGCGGAAACGAATCACCTACACGAGATTATTAATTAAGTATACCGTGACACACGCTGAATAATGCGTCATCAGCCCCCGAGTATATATTCACAAAGTTGGATAATGCATCACCTAAGTATGCAGGAGGGTAATTTACCTCACACCGAGATTTTCTGTAACCTTTTGTTATGTATGAATGCTGATAAACTTCCCCAACTTACTATAAATTAAGACCTGTAGAGCGTGGAAATTGGTACTTTATAAATTTTATTTAACCACCGCCGACGACGAGATGACGTTCGTTACTAACAAACTTCATTTTATTAATATCGCCGTTCACGGTTTTCAGTTATAAATTGTCTCTGTTAAATTTTAGATTGAAAGGCGGCGCACAGAGCGAGAGGGATTTAATGAACGAGTCATTAATTACTCATTAAAATTAATTGGCGGGATTTGTTACATTTATTTAAATTAATTATATTAAGGATGTCTCTAACAAAGTAACTAATACAAACGAAACGTAATTTCTTTAAGCTTTCCCGCTCGAAGCGACTTAACGCGCCCCCACGTTGTACCCTAAGGTTGCCATACGATTGCATAAATATTAACTCCGGGGGAAAATTATGTGCTATACCAGTGTATTGTTTTTTATACTGTAAGATACGGAGTACAACCCCCTAACGAAACGGATAGACAAATAAATCCAACAATTTGGTTAATCCACAAACAAAATTTAATGTAGGTAATGTAATAATCGACAGTATTTGGCATTCACTTTTATTTAAAGGGCTCTTCATGTAACTATAAGCCCTGCGCACTCTTTTAAATGAAACCGACAACCATTTCGTTGGTTCGTGCTCTCGGTGTTTGTCGCGAGCTTTTACGGATGACCAGTACTAATTTTTCGCAAAAATATTTGATAAAGCGCGGAACAATTGTGTAGCGTATGTGGGTCTGAATTGGAGTACGGCCATAATTAAACTCGTATACAAAATTGTGCGATTAACAAGTCAGAAGCAGTAAACGTAACGCATTTTTTCGTGTTAATAGAGTTTGGATAAAGACGATCCGCTATAATGCAGCTTGTACGCATATTCAACTGTTATCATTACAAATGATTCTCATTTGTTACGAGTGCAACGCTACATTTAAACGAACGTATAAAGTTAGTGTAAATATGGCAAATTAACCGACTTAATTTCATTATTTCATTCATTAAATAAAAGTTCATTGTCCGAGAATTTCGATACAGCTAGTTATACGAGGGCGAGTCACAAAAGTTCAACTGTATTCCCCAGAGCCAGTTGTCATTTCTTATTGTCCCGAGCTGAAAAGCGCATTTCTTCAAGGGAGAACCGTACCGTCATACCAAGACAATATCTCCAGGGGTCGTTATCTATAAGTTACTTTAATTTTTTAATTGTTCCTTAATTAAAATGGAAGCGCAAATGTTGGTGCTTTGGGGGTATATCTTTCAAACGAAATCTTTTTGACCATCGGTGTCCAATTTCTTTGATAAAATTTTGTTAGTGGTGTTGCCAGGAATTTGGTTGGGGGGGGGGGGGCTGATATGCGGACGTTGTGTATAGTACAGGAATTTTACCTCAAAAAAAGATGTCACCTAAAAGAAATTAATTCATAAAATTTGACGATTGATGTTGGTTCCTCAGATAGTTTTTTTAACAAGGAACAAGGTCTCCGAAAAACCCAGCTACGGAAAATTTACAGGACCCAATCGAAATATGACAATTTTAGTATGAAAGTTTGAAAAAACGCACTAGTAATTCCAGCTCTCAGAGACGATCTTACCAAATTCCATTCGCATTTTTTTAAATGAAAAAGGTGAGCTTGAAAAAGGAAGTTGGTGTAGCAGTACTTTTGGATAACGGCTGAGCAGAAACGGGGATCGCTTTCAGAATGAGGTGAGTGTTTACGTATTTTGGGAAGAACGGCGGAAGACAGGTGTGCCCAGCCGCACAATCAACAAAATAACGGCTGAAGGTATCATTTTGAAGGTCGGACCCACGCGATCTTTTGCACTGCTTCAGGAATACAAACATACTTCTCTGGCTCTTGGACGGCCTGTTGATAAAACCAAGCATTGTGCCTTTTTTATTTTATTTTGCCTTTATTTTTGAGTGGGCGGGGTTTCGGCCAGGGCTGCTCTACCAACCCAACCCACTATACATTTACATCGAAGCCGGATTCGAACCAGGGACCCTTAGCACCACAGTCCAGCGTTAACTGAACTGCGCCACACGGGCCGGCTGGACAAAAAGCTTGAAGTTTTTATGGATTCCCAAAATGCTTAACTGTTTTGAGTTTCTTCTTCT